TTTGATGTACTGGCCATATTTCTCATAGCCTGGTAATTTTGCGGTGCACTTGACGAGGCCTTAACGAAAGTACGAACGTATGTTCTCCACGCATTCATGGGCAGGCATGGCGCAGTAAAGATTGTTGCTCTTACCATGCATTAGGTCGGGAATTCCAGTCCGCCAGCAGGACGGCCAGTTTTTTACGATTCGTTCATTCGTTTCGATGCTGCTGGTAAAATTGGTGCTGATCTGTGCCGGGGAATCAAACTCGCCATCAGCCTGCTTGTCAGTGAAGTGTTCCTCGAAAAAAGAAGCCGTCAACAGCGTTAAAAGAGTTTGCTCTGTAGCATTATGTTTCACTCAGCCAAATGCCTCAAAATCGATGAAGAGGAAACACGAGGAGATGCTGTGCCCTCTGCATCTTTCTGTCTGCTTTGCATTGAAGTTATCAGTGGGAAAAACCCATACTTTCTGTTTCGTGTATTTTACTGTCTTAATATAACTTATTTTCATATATTTGTTAAATTTTACATTATCAGTACAATAATAATAGGAAAAAATTTTAAAGTTGGAAGAAGACAAAAGCAAATAATATTAAGAAATTAGTGAAAGTTGTAAAATTTTGTAAAATATGTTATAATGGTAAGAAATGTTTCGGTCCAATAATTACTCCCGCTTTAGCTTGTGTTTTTCTAGACTTTCATTTACTCGAAGCTGTGGTACATTCCTTTTTTTCCTGTTAATTTCGTTATAATAAATTTTTGTTGCAGGGCCTAGGAGTGCCTTTCAATCTGGCAAGCTATGGCCTTCTCACACACATGATTGCACATGTTTGTGGTCTTAAGGTACTTTTTTTGATTTTGCGAAATTTAAAAAATTCTAATTTTTAAAATTTTTTAAATTTTTTTAAAATTTATGTAAAGACTAATTGCATTCTGATGATTTTTATTGTATTTCTCAGTTCTACTGTTTAGACTGGGTATCTGCATCATTCGTTGGGTGATGCGCATGTCTACGTAAATCATGTTGATGCGCTGCAAGAACAGGTTAGTTTATTTTTTCAGAAAAATTATTCAAATATATGGGTAATTTATTTGCAAAATCTTATATTTTTTTTTCCGCA